ATGTGATATTGTTGTTGAAAATAAAGTTTATTTTTATAATTTTTTATACAAATTAATAATAAAAAAAGCAATAAATTGATCATTTACATGTATTTTTAAGTCACAAAATAGAAAATTTCAAAAAATCAACTTCTAATTTAATTAACCATTCAATTAAAATGTTACATGCAGCATTAGTATTGAAAATAAAACTTGTTTGTATAATTCTTCATAAAAATTAGTAATGAAAATTATGAAAGATATAGGTTTAACATGTGCCTTTGTAGCACACACTAGAAAATTCCATAAATAAAAATAGAAATTTTTTAAGAGTATATATTAAAAGTATATTTTTATACTTTTTCATCATTAAATTGAATAAAAAATAACAATTGATTTTAATTTTATCAATCATTAAATTAAATCATTTCACAAGATATTGATATTGAATATAAAATTTACTTTTATAAATTTTTATAAAAATAATATTAAAAAATATAATAAATGCACTTTAAAAAGCACATATTAAAAAGACACATAAAAATAAACGCTAACAAGAATGAATCGTGTTTATAATGTCTGCACCAATTAATTGTGGCCAGAGTCGTTTTAATAGCTGTTTTGGTTGATTATTGGTCCTATGTATTTATTAAATCCAAGTGCCATAGCTCCGAAATTCGATCATTCCCAGTTTTTAGTAAAGCTGTCGTCTAAAAATCCAAAAAATAAAAAATAAAAAATAAAAAAAGTACAGCTTTCGTCTATGTCTACTAGTGATAATTGGCATGCGGGAAATTAAGGTGCTGATACCTAGGTAATTTTGGTATGAGTTTGCCTATCCCGTATTTTGAGAAATAATAATTAAGTATAATTATGATATTTTTTTAAAAAAATATAAAATTTTAAATTAAAAAATAATTTTTATTTTATAATTCAAAATAAATTAATAAAAAATTAACACAAAATATTTATAATTAAAATAAAAAGTCACTTTTAAAATAAAAAATAACTATTATTAATCAATAATTACTTCTTATCTTTTACTTTTTAAGATACAATATAGAGATAAATAAACCTTTTTTTGTGTATTTTTTGTGTTTTTAATTGTGAATATTATAGTGTCGTATGTTTTCTGCGGGTTTCACAATATTTTAACTATTGATAAAAGAAATATATCAGCTTATAAGAAGTAAATTACACTTTAGGTTTTTTCCTGATTAAATACTTCTATTACCTTCATTAAAATTTAATAATTTTAATTTAATTTTTAATTTTTTAAATAAAAATTTAATAATTTATATAAACAATAATTAAAAAATTTTGTTTCTTATAAGTAATTTTTGTTGAATATTTTTATTTAATAAAAAAATTTTAATTATAATTTATATAATATATTAAAATTTTATTTACAAAAATTAAGAAATCAAATTATAACTAATAACTTTAAGTAAAAATAAATAAATACACACATTATTATAAATCTCAATAAGTAAAAATAAAATGCTAGATGCATGCATGTGCGCATGTCAAGTGGTGGCAGGGAGACATCCCTTTTAGTTTATGTTTTTCTATAGAAACATATTGCTTTAGTTAGTATTCATTTAGTATAAATTTTTTTAATAGAATTTATATTTAATATCTAATTTCTAAAACAGTTTTTTATTAGTTTTGTTATATTTTGAAAAATAATAGACTTATCCATTTCGAGCCTTGCCCTTCTGAATTCTGAAATTTCACCATCAGACAATCAGTACTAGAAAAACTCTGAAGGCAACTGTAAGACTCAGTTATGGTATAACGTACTGCTCAACATATGAAACCCACCGCCATATCTCAGAGACCAAAAAGGACAAATTTTCAGAAATGGAAAAACTGTAGAGGTTGAAGAATTGGCCAAGTTAATTTCTCAAAACAATAACCAAATCTGGCAAGTTATTGTAAACTTCAGACACATAAAATTACTATCTTTGGAATCTATGACATGCTCGTTCCAAAGTATAAGGAGAATCGCAACACATCACAGTCGGATTTCACTTTTGCTGTAGAACCTACTAAGACAATGAAAAATAATTCATCAGATTTTAGTAGAGAATTACAGCCACCGAAGAGATTCAAGTAACAGTTGAAGAAAGAACAAGAAATTTTTCTTTTTTAAAATAAAAAAAATTTCCAAGCCAAAGTTCTTAGGCATCCAAAAGAATACAAGAGATGCATAAACAAGTTCAGAATCAGCTCAGTGAGATGCAATATGAAGACAATTGATCGACTTTGGTGTAGAGGCTAGTCCTCATCCATTCCTGCAGGTTGCTTTCTCTTTCGGACCACCACCTGGTTTTGCCATTATAATCTGCAATTTGAACACTGGACCTCGTCAACCAACTAACGTGAAAAGACGTTTTTAAAAAAGGGTTTGAATCAAAATTTAACACAAAGCAGTTGCTAGGTTGTCATCAAGCTGCTTCTTTCTGTTGAATTACCTAGTCTACTCATAATACGGTGCAAGCAGCATCTGCAGCATATTTAAGGGCAAAAAACCTGTAGGAAAATACAAGTAAATTATTTTGAAGAAAACTTCCATGCCAATATATGCAGTGGTCACACTTTAGTTCATCTAAGTTTAGAACTCCAAAGATTCACTGTAAGTAGACCTTTCTGTTGACCATTGTTACTGGCAGGACTTCTCTGATTATACTAGTTTAGTTATGACCATTATAGTGTGGTCTGCTTTCATAATCATGGAAAAACTGATTCAGTCATTGTAAAGGGCTACCACAAAACTGATCAATTTGTCGAGTACCTAGAAAGGTTTTTGGGCATAAATTGATTGCAAAACAGTTCAGCCCACCCCCCTCCCCCCCTTTGCTGCCAAGTCAACACCCACTTTGGCATTTCCAGATGCATGTTTTTCATACAGCCTTGATATGATATCTATAGCACTCAGCCCAGCATTCTCTGCTGGGGTTCTTGGTATCATTTCAAAACTTTCAGCAAATTTAGTGATAGCATACTGATCCAATCTGCAAAAAGTTTGTAAAAGTTAGGTTAAAAACCAACCTTCCTAATTCCAATATATAGTCCCCCAGGGGAAAGCTATCTTCATACACTTAACAGCTAGAACTAACATTCCAGAATAAGCAAAATATAAATGCAATAACTGCTTCAAAATGTATAGAATAAAATGGTCTGACTCTGTCCAGAAGACATGATGGCCATGCAGATTTGGTACCATCAAGGAAAACACATAAAATAATCCTATGCAAGTATTACCCTATTTCTTTATACGAAAACTCTTCAACTCAATTTCAGTAGCTACAACTCCAGGTACCATACGACTATCTCTGCACATTGCCTGACCACCCAAAGGAAAAAGAACGGTATAGAGCAAGCAATTATACAGCTGCCAATGAAATTCGCATCTAACAAGAACACAATTAACCATTCCAAAGGCCAAAAAAAACGAAACATCACAAGGTTTATGGAGATGAAATACTACAAACTGGTCGGAAGAAAAAGAAGAAAAAAATTATTAAACAGAATCACCTTATACATATTCACTCCATCATCAACGGCTCTCTTAAGATGATCTAATAGACTATCAGTAGTTCCTTGAAGAACCAGAGTAGAAACTCTGTTTCCACCTTATTCACTCGTAAAATAGTGACCTACAGTTAAAGAAAGACAGGTAAAACCTAAACAAAAAATTGAAATAAAGATAATGTGATTGAAGTTCTTTATCATACCTGAACTCCACCAATTTTCTCAACCGAAACTGAATCAACATATCCCAGGTCATCTGGCTTTGGCTGGCTGAGTTTCAACTGTTGGAAAAATTCAGGTATCTTAGAGAGTAAAATATACAGTTCCTAACATAATCTAGAAATAACTTGCTTACAAGAGCAATAGCACCAGTTGTGTGGCAAAATTATCGCAGTTCAAACTTTGAGTTTGAGCTGATTTTTAAGACCATTAGCTTGCAAGGAGAAACTTCAAAATTAGAAGCCAATGCTATGGAGGATCGAGACAAAAACATCTACGAATATCAAAAATAGTGTATCAAACATTTTTTTTGGCCATCAACTATCAAAGTCCTTTAGTAAGCTTGCATCTGATTCTGATGAAGACAAGAAAGAACAAAGTTGAGAATTATTAGGGAAAAGAAAAAAAGAACTAAGAAGGTCGATGTACTTGTAACGCTCACAGAAATGCAATGCCATTTCACCAACTGCTTCCCCACTAACAATAATTTTGGCACCAGAATCAGCCACTGCTTTGATGAGCTCCTCAACCTTAGCTTCCTCAGTTTTTGCATAATTCTGTAGCTGCATTATGACACTGTGTTAACCTTTCAAGTTTTAGCATCAAATTAGTAAAAGAAGCATATGAATACTTTCAGAAAAAGACATGGAAAAGCATTTGGACATAAAGTGAGAGAGGCAGTTAAGGCATGACATTATCTAGTATTGAGGATTGGGAAACCATGCATGAAGACTAGTACACAACCATAGGGATGAAAGGATGATGGCATCTACTATATGATTTTGCAAAAATTTGAGGGTCTGCTTGAGCCTTACCTGTTCAGCACTATGGATTAAGACAGTTCCTTTTGTTTCAGTGGCTGAGGTATCAACACCTGTAACAAACACAGCTACCTGAAAAAGGGCAATGCACACATACATGTTAGAGATTCCAGGACTAAGAAATCCAACCTTCCAATAACAAATTGACAAAAATGAAATAAATAGAAAAATAACCCCACACCTTTGCCTTCCCCATTTGCTTTATACTTCAAACTGCATCGTTTTTCAAAACCATACCCCAAACTATTGTGCATTTGTGCTGTTATGCAGACCTCCTCCCAAGAGCTTTGCAACACGCACATTATCAGCATCAAAACTTGCTGGGTTCTTCGGGCAAACTTGGATACATGCCTTCGGTACAAAAGGAGGGATGAAAATGGTTGCCACAATTAGACAAAGAGCTAATAAAATAACCACTCACTGGAAAAAATGAATAGGATAGTCAATTAATATTAAATCAGACATAAGGGAACATAAAACATCTTGTCCAAATTGCTTGCTAGCAACAGCAGCTTTCATTCTAGTGATAACTTGCTCCTTAACCCTGACATCCATACTTTCTGAACCTTTCTCTACTAGCTCACCTAAAATCTCAACAGTCTGCATATATTAGAAATAGGTATTAGAACAGTTTAATATATTCAAAAAGGTTAAGAATTATCTTTCCATTCCATCCCGTTGGCAATGCATTGAGGAAACCTTGTTTATAACTTTGGTATATCCACTGATGATCTCACTTGGGTGCAGGCCAGTCCTAATTAGCTCCTCTGCATTTTGGAGGAGCTCTCCAGCAAACGAAATAGTCAAATTAGCACCATCACCAATTTCTTGCTGTTGAGCCTTCCCTGCCAGAACCAATATCTTGGCAGCAGGGCGTTGAACCTCAAGCTCATTTACAATAGTAGCAGCATCATTTGTGACAAACAGCTTGTCCAAATGATTTATAACCATCTTATTCGTACCTGAGTTCAAAGAGATTACAAGGAAAATTACGGAACCCTTCTATAGAAAAAAGAATCAGAGAAACAAGTCAAATAAAAACTGCTCAAATGGGGGAAAGTAACAAGTCCATGGTTTTATGTTGGCGGATTGTTATCTTAACAGTGAGTAATTCGACACCATCCTCTGTTTCATTCATTTCAAATCCAAAAAATAAAAAATTATTGAATAATTTGCAAAATAAAACTATGGTATCATCCAGAGCCATTTTAAGCCACTAAATTCTCCAAAAAAAAAAAAAAA